GGGCACATTAATCCAAGGTGTCCTTCAATATTCCGGTCGATAGCAGTAACCCATTATAACTCTGTCCCTACAGTTAACAGAAGTTCGCATGGGATCACCTGAAAATATGGGCCTTGCATTGGGCCCAAATCTTATCCAATATACCCCTAAGAGATTGATGGAAGGAAAAATTATTCTTATTTTTATTTTTATTCAACTTTAAAGAATGTATATTATAGTTTTAGTTTTAGGGTTTATTTCTAGGGGTTTTTAGCTTTTAGGAATTATAGGGTTTTTTATATTTTTATTTATTATTCATTGGTTGCTATTCATAGTTATTGTTTATGGGTACTATTCACGAGTACTAATCACAGGGATAAAACTATCATTACGAAATTTAAGTTTAAGTTAGGACATATAGGCCATTTTAATCATTGTATGGATTTCTTTTGAGACACTTCTTTTGTGGAAAGGGAACACCTATCATTTTCATTTAGCAAATGAAATAGCACCCATGAGCCCTACACAGAAAGTGCACCTTCCTCAGGAGTAGTACATTTGACCAACCATAAAGGCGTACAAAATACATACATCATCCGTCGTTTTAATATATTGAAAAATTAATTAGGCCTGCTATGTTTCTTGAAGTAATCCTCATTAAACAATTGCATTGAGAAGTTAGAAATGTCAAAATTCCAACAATAAGATATATTTTGTTAAAAATGACAGCTACTCTAAGCCAAGCTACAGTATTAATGTTTCCAAAATATAAGATACACATTTCCCCTAAATCCTATGAATAGCATAACCTAGAATGACAAAATGGAAGTATCGGCATTTTTCAAGTTTGTAGATTATGTGAGTAGTCCTTGCTTTCCAATCATAATAATCATATAATATGCCAACCCTTTCATCATCGATCTATGTTGTCTTTTCACCCTTTTGTCTCTAATTATGAACGTACTCATGGCCCAATTTATCCTAATGTATCTTTAGTCTTGTTTGGGAATACCCCCAAACACTTTTCGAGTGTACTCCAGAACTTGATCAAATATAGGATCTCGGGTATAAGCTATGTGATCAAGATTCAGTGGGGATTTACCCATTACTCCCACTGACCTAATACATTCCATGATGTCTCAAAAGACTTATCAATCAAAGTGCCTCAATGGAATTGCACCCAAGTGTAAGATACCTTTATCTAGCTTACTCTAGGATGTCATATACACAGTTTTCTGGTTTTTCAAGTTGAGGGCAATTCCTAGATTATGTAGCAGAAGATACAGGATGACATACCTCTAATAAAATAACCATAACTTTCAAAATATAGGGAATTTTATCATGAGACTTGGTTTTTTGAAAGCTAAACTCATTAAATATATTGATATTTCATTTGTTTAAGTATATTATGATTTCATTTTTTGAAAGCTAGACTCATTAAGTAGTAAGAAGTGAAGTGATCTTAGCCATTGGTGCTCCTCTTCTATTGCACATAAGAGGCCATGATCCTAGCCACTCATCCCCATTCAACCACCTAGATCAATGGATAAGATTTGACACCATTATCACCCTTGTCCCGTTAAAAAATTTCGCTTAAGTACATTGTAGAGATTCCATAAAAACGTTTAGGTTTTAATAAAATCACTAGAGTACTATATGTACAAGGGCATGTCATTTTCAATAATTAGAAAAACCCACGTGTGTGAAGAAAATATCATATGACACATCCAATGGAATTTAAACAACCAATATTCTTCACATGGCAATGGAATTTCAACAACCAATATTATTCACATGGCATAAACTTATGGGACAAAGCCACATGAGAAATCCACACATGCCAAAATATCCCATATGGATAACGTTTTTAATTCAAATTATTTCTCAAAAATCCTTGGCATCACACATGCCAAAGGGGGACACATGTGAGAAATATAAGCATGTGAAAATTTTAATTAAATACTTTATAAAATCAATTCAATTAGCATAATACCCCATAAAGGTTTACTCTCTCAAAATGCAATCACTCATTACCTCATGTACTCGGGATATATGAATCTGGGCCGCAGCACCCAGATTCAATCTCTCTCTCTTACTCACACTGAGCGAAAGATTATTGGCTTTAACGCCTTGAAAGACCATATAGCCAACACTACGAACATTTGAAAATCTTAAAAATTGTTGGTCTAGATAATGCATTACAAGATGCATTATTTCCAAGACTTAAAATAGATTTTTTTTCTTAGGTCCATGTATCTCAAGGTTGAGATGATTGGATTTGAGGATTTTTTTTCTGCATTGAAACACTACTTCTAGTGAAGTTTTAAGGCGTGCGTTAGTTTGATTATTTAAGGCCTCAATCTTATATAAATTTTTTCCAACCTAACATCAGAACAACATACTACAAACTACAATCCAAGCACTATCAACACAAATATACGTGGTTCACCCAAAATCAGGCTCCATTCACATGCAACCGGCAAGAAAACGATCTGCCAAAAGTAGAAATTTCCAGTTTCAACCACACAAAATAGGGCTCAATTGTAGCTAAGATTTTTTTCAAAAATCCCCAATCTCATCCTTACAAGATCTCTCCCTAATAGGCTCTTTAATTTCTTATATTCTTTCTTTCTACAATGAGCTTTAAGCCTATGTATAAGTAATATTTTTGTAACGAAAACAGCCCTCGGCAATGAGGGGATTTTTCATGACCGTCCCAAAAAACAAACGTATCAATACCAAAAAAGAAGGGAGACAGCTGAGAGGAAATCTTTCGAGGTAATTCCCTCTCTCTCTCTCTCTC